CTCTCTCCAGTTCCATGCAATCGTAAGCTCTGCATGCTGCACCCATCTCTAATATCACTCCACTGGTCAATGTGATCTTCCTCAGTTACAAATCATTAATGCATGATGTTTGGGATCCACCAAGATGTTCCCTAGGGACATCACAGATGCACCTATAAGCTAATGTCACCTGGTACCTCCTCATATGTAGTAGGATCTCAGCAAATATTTCCTGAGTTATGAGTCAGTCAAAGGGGACACAGACACCCACCCAACTCCAAAACAAGGTGGAAGAGACAAGATAAAAACATTATACTCCTGCCTACACAAGATGAATGTTGAGTATGTAGAAAAGAGCACAGACATTAAAAAGAAAATGATTTTACAGCATCTGAGTGGCTCTCAGGATCTTTACCATTGAATAGTAGTCATGACAACTAATAACTGCCTCATACCAGCCACTGCCCAGGTTTCCAGGAAGAGAACCCACTAAGAAAGTCCACAATTCATTTCTGTTTGGATCATAATTAATGGAGTTTTCTCTGCCACCCATCACCTATGGACTAGTATATAAGTGGTATACATGTCACAATCTGTATAAAGTGCCATTTTATGCATGTAAAATGAATTGATGTCTTAACTTGGCCAATTAAAAATATTTTTTAAAATTTCTTGGCCAGCTAGATAGCTCAGTGGACTAAAGCTCCTACTTAGGTAGGTGCAGGGACTGGAGTTTGATCCCTAGCATGCTGTGCCAGCTCCACCCCCAGGGGGCAAGCTGAGATGGCAACTGAGACTGGGCGTGGTGACGCTAGCCTGTAATCCCAGTGCTTGGGAGGCTGAAAACAGGAGGATCACTATGAGTCTGATCTGTGTATTGAGACCCTGTACTAGAATACTTTAGCAAATTTTTTTCTATAGATTGTCCCAATTATCACTGCCACCTTCTCCCAGTCCTGGTCCCCAATTTCTATAGAAAGGGAAGAGCAGGGAACTAAGGAAGGGAAGGAGAAGACTAATAAGCAACAGGGGACCTCAGAGATCTAGAACAACCACACCCGTTTTACAGATGAGAAGACTGTGGTGTTGTGGAACAAGCAAATGTATTTGGTCAAAATCTGTTTGAAATGCCTCCTCCATTTTCTGGATGACCTAATCTTGCCAGACTTCATTTTCTACAAAAAAAGGGAGAGGGGAATAAACAATGGCTCACAAGATTGTTTTGTGGGTGAAATGGGATAAGAAATGTGAAAACACCAACCCTTACAGGCACTCAAAAGCTAGGAAGTAGAAAGAGAGACCAAAACTGGTCTTCTTCCCTCTTGCCCTCCTGGGATTCTTTGAAGAAAGAGGCATTCATTGAGCCACGACCTCCATTCTTAACAAAAAAGATGCCTGGGACAGAGGGAGGCTGCTGAAGAAGGCAGCAAGCACCAAACAAAACCACAGTTGCCATCTGTTCTTTGCTTTCTTCCTGAGTGTCTCTGGACAAAGACCAGTTAACTCCAGGATACTTTCTCAGTCATCTGGGCAGGCTGCTGGAAAGCAGAGGGATCACCCTGAGGGCAGCGGCTCCTGCCCCAGCTGGCTCTCCAGGGCTGGAAGGCAGTGACTGCCCTGCTGGCATGGAGTACCCTTGTCTCCCTCTGCTCACACTAGGCAGGCCTGGGCAGAAATACTGGCTCAGCATTTGCACACATGTAGAGAGAAGCAATAAACAGGTTATTGCAATGCTGAAAGGATGTGGTGGTGGTGGTGTTTTTTTTTTTTTTTCCTGCACTGCTGGGGATCAAACCCAGCAAATATTCTACCACTAAGGCCTTTATATCTATCCTCAGGCCTTTATATTTTGAAATGGATCTTACTAAATTACTCAGATTGACCTGGAACTTGGAATCCTCCTTCCTCACGCTCCCCAGCAGCTAGGATTACAGTCCTGCACCAAGACTGGACTGTACCTTTAAGCACATATGCCCTCTAGAGCCCTTTGTCTCCCACTGGCCTTCTGCATGGGACACCTTCCATCAAAGCAGCCTAGGGGAACCTGGTCCCCAGCTTGGGCAGGTGATGGCCACATTTCTGGGGAAAATCTACTCTCCCTTCCCTGAGTGTCTAGCTCTTGCCCAGCCTGGACCTTCACTGCACCTTGCTGGTTCTAGCAGCAGCCAAACAAAATGACAAAGTTGGCCCACAAAGTTAGAGCAATTCAAGCGACAGCTATTTAACAGCTCAGAAGGGGCTGGGCTCAAAGTGCTTCCTTTACCCTAGGGAGCTGCATTTTTCTAAGATTATTATTCCTTGGGCTGGCGGCTCAGCCACTCAGCGTCATTTCCCCTTTGGGTGGGAAGTTCTTTCCTTTCTGCATGGATTTTCATTATGATTTCAACCCCCACTCCCCCCCCTTCTCATCTGCAGATTTCATAATTAAAGCATGGCCTATGGATTGGAAAAAAATCAAAGCATATAAATTTAGTACTCAGTTTAGAACTATGGCTCGGAAGCTCCGCAGTAGGAAACCACACAGAAAAAGGAAACTTCTGGGTCTCAGCCTACTTATCATTACTGAATGAAACACCAGCAGTACATGGCAGCTGAGCAGCTAGCAGAGTAGCAGGTGGGTACAAAAGCCTAACAATGGCTACACAAACAGGGGGCTGTTCTCCATGGACTTAGACTCCAACCCAGGCAAACAATTTATAAATGGAATGTAGTCAGTCAACAGTGAGAACCTTGAACTCTGCCAGAAGAAAAAGGGCTAGAAATAGCCCACTGGGAGGAAAAGGACATCTGTGGTCCCTGCTGCTGACATGGTGGATTTGGAAGGCCAAGCCACGAGGGCCAGGCACTGACCACTGGAATCCCACAGCAGGAAGGGGTTGAGGTCAGTTTCCCAGACTCTCAGACAAAGCACGCTATTTGTAGGCCTCAAGACTCCATAGCAGCAAGAGTACTCCCTCCTGAATGCAAGCAGGTGGACGAAGAGCCTGAGTGACCATCTGTCAGGGCGCTGGCACCCCTGGAGGCCCTTTCAGCCTGAACCATGCTATGCTGCCTTATGAAATAAGTGCTGGTAATGCCTAGTGCTGCATGGAGCTCAATCTAAACCAGCCAAGGAAGTGCTAGGGTTAGAACACTGGGGCTTACTGAAGTCACCTAATGCTGGTTATCCTGTGTGTTGTTTCTTTGTTTTCCCTAAGTGACACTATTTGAGCCACTGCTCAAAGCAGGCACAGATCTTGCCTGTGTCTTCAGCTATCTCACACACCTGGGTCCTCCATCACATTCCAGATGAATGATCCCCAGATGAATCAAGCAAAAGTTTGGGGAGCAAAGACCAGCAGCATTTCTGCAGTGGCCATGAGGAAAATCTGGCTAAGGCCCAATTCTTATTTCCCTATAACCCAAGTGCCCCGTGGTCCCTATCTCTAAACAACCACTTTCTAGGATGTATGGGGATTCCCAGCCACAGAAGGAAGGAGATTCCTGTACCAGCCTCCTCCTAGCAGGGCCCCCCAAGTCAGCATTTCTCCCACCTATCCCTTCACCAGAGCAGGCTCTCGTCTAACAATGCACGAGTACCAGCCAGAGACACCTGTCTTCTGTTCTCTGATGTCCTTCCAAAATGTCACCAAATATCATACCATGTCACTCAGTTACTTTTCTACTGCCAAGATGTCAGGAAATGTTGATTCCCCCCACAAAACAAAACAATGTTGTAAGAAATCTAAAATGAGTTTCTTTCTCCTCTCCCTTTGCTACTGTTCCTCAGTTTCTCAAAATTAGGCCAGTGGCTTTGAAATTCACAAGGATGGGGCAGTTTGCAGTGATGGGAGTATGGCTGAATATGGAGTTGAGGTTTTACTGGGGATGGTGGGATTTTTCTTATTTTATCCTAGGAGACATCCCTAGGCTGGATCAAGCACATTAATTCAAATGGGGGAATATATATATATATATATATATATATATATATATATATATATATTTGTAGAATACAACCCAGTTGAAATTTAGGGAGCTGAATCTTCTCGACCTTGACCTAAACTCTATAAACTGGTGTCCACGTATCAAGAGCTGGAGTCCCTCCAGGACGTCCCTGAGAGTGTGTGCCCTGTGTCACTGACAGGAAGGCACAGGCTGACACCACCATGCTGCTGACTTTGTTCAAAGCACTTTCCATTATTTTTACTTTCATTTTGTCATGCCATCACCAGGAGACTAGGGGGAACAGGGCCATCACTTCCATTTCACAGGTGGAGAAACTAAGACCAAAGGAGAGGACAGTCCCAGAGCCACAACAACATTATAGTTAAAATTCCAACCAGTCCTTGGCATTTTGTTTGAGGCCAGTAAAAGGAGCCAGATACAAAGGCAGCAGGGGAGACGGTCAGCTCCTGTCTGCCTGGGAGCACAAGGGCCGCTGGAGGGACAGCTCGAAAGGAGAGGCAGGGAGGAAAGGTTTGGGGGCCCTGCTGGGCCGTTTGCGTTGAGAGGATCGAGCTCCCTCTTTCCCCCAAGTTCCTGTGTTTTTTAGGATTGAACCAGTACATCATGTGGCCTTCAAACTACATCCTTTGTCCTTTTCACATCCTCAGTGCTAGCACCTTTTAAAAATCCGTTATTTATACTGGAAAGTCTGGCTCTGTAACTGGAGAAACCCGTTTTGCATCTATAAGGAGAAAAAAAATTAAAGACTCGGGACCCACGGCCGGAAGTTATCACCCCCGAGGTGGAGAGGCGCTTTGGGAGGTCTTTTTCTTTTTCTCGAAGGAGTTGGCGGCGGTGGGAGGCACAAGGGGTGCCCCAAAAGAAGAGAGAAGTTTTCCTTCAAAGCCCGGGCGGGGGGCGATGGTTACACCCCCAGTTCGGTCACCAGGGCGCACGTGCCTCCTTAACAGTCCACTCTGGGGGTCCCCTGCACGTCGGGCTGGCGGGGTCACAGGTCGCACCAGTCGCGGAGGGGCCCAGGCAGGGATGCAGCCCCGGGACGCGCCCACAGCCCGGTCCCGGCTCTCACTCACCCGCGCTCGCGCCTCGAGGAAGCCGGCCGGAGCGTCCCCGCCGTGTCGCGTGGCCGGGGCCAGGGGCCGAGGGCCCGCGGAGCCCCGTGCTGGAGAGGGGCGC